CCCCAAAACCCCAAAACCCCAAAACCCCAAAACCCCAAAACCCCTCACTACTTCAAACTATTGAAATTATCTTTGAGGATGAAGATATTATGATGGACCTCCATGTGATGCTTGTAGAAGTAATCTGATTACGAAACCAATGAAGATACAGCTTCTTGTCCGAGGTGGGCAGTTGCAGAATCACATTATTAGGATCCCTATCCAATGAAATACGAAGCCCACAAAGAGGCCAACAAGCACTTCCTTCATTCATTTACTACCCTCGTCCTCCTCCATGTATGAGTTGGGTCTTGCTCTATCAAAAATACTCTGGTTATCAGTACGTGGCCTATTCGGGAATCTTGGATTATTCATATTTCTATCATCATTAATTTGCTGCTGGATGACAGCAGCTCTTTGTAAGAACTCAGAGAATCGTGCGTAGTTTCCTAAATGAATATTATTTAAGTGGAGACTCTTGATGAGTTGGGAGGAAAACAGGGCTTACGGATTTGGTCTAGTTCACCTTCATTCTCATCATCTACTACATTTTTATGATCTTCTTCATCACAGACCTGGGGTGTTCTGTTTATATTTTTAAATATGACATGAAGAACAAATTTATTCTCGACTTTGCACTCAGTGAGTGTCTTTTCACTATCCAATATTTTCCCAGCAAAGAGAATATTGACCTTATTTCCCATTGGCTATTTCCTGTTTGAATACTTTGTTGGTCACCTCTTTAATTTTAGTTGTTTCAAAGCTGCATTCAAACTCTTGTCTTTGCCCATTAGTCTGCATCAGGATAACTTTTGTTGCTTCTTTAGCTGTGCTCTCTTCAATACCAGGGTCACTTCTAGTATGGGAGGTCTCATTACCATTCTCAAGGTCATCCACTTCGGTATCATTCAGCTCAGGCTGAAATTTCTTATAATCCATTAGGGAGGATATACTGCAGAATTATTATTATAAAGCATTCGGGGTTTTGGGGTTTTGGGGTTTTGGGGTTTTGGGGTTTTGGGG